GATTGCAGTAGTGATTACACTGCTATTCATATGTGATAAATCATATAGAACCTGCTAGAAATAAAATGTTATTTGAGCTAGATTTAAATAGAAAGCCAATATGTGAAATCAATTTAATTTCTACATACCAGCAATAAACAGTTGGGAATAAAATTAAGAAACAGTACCATTTAGAGTAACATTAAAAAACATGATAGGCGCACCTGGGTGGCTCAGTCAGTTAAATGTCTGACCCTTGATCTCAGCTCAGGTCTTGATCTCAGGGTCATTAGTTCAAGCTCCATGATGGGCTCCACATGTGGAGCCTACTTAAAAAATAAATACTAATTAAAAAATGATAATATATTCATAAATACACTTAACATCTATGTCCAAGATCTCATACTAAAAATCTTCAACACTATAGAAAAAGATTAAAGAAGACCTAACTAAATGAAGATATACCATGTTCATTGATTGGAAGATTCATTATTAAGATGTCAATTCCATACAAATTTGTGTATAGATTCAATGTCATCCCATTAAAAAATCTCAGCAGGATTTTTTTGTAGAAATTGACAAGCTTATTCTAAAAATTATGGAAAAACAAAGGACCTAAAATAGTCAAAACAATCTTGAACAATATAACAAATTTAGAGAAACTATATTACTTATTTTAAAGCTTATCATAAAGCTACAGTAATTAAAATGATGTAGTATTTGCCTGCAAATAGACAAATAGATCAATAGAATGAAGAGTGCTTTAAAAAATGGTCTCATACATGCACGACCAGTTACATTTTTTGGCATATATACCAATATAATTCAATGAGGAAAGGACAAACTTTTCAACATATGGTGCTGGAACAACTGGATATTCACACATTTAAAAACAAAACCAACCCTCAGTTTGTTTCCCAGAGTCCAGAGTCTCTCATGGTCTGTCTCCCTCTCTGATTTCTTCCCATTCAGTTTACCCTCCCTTCCCCTGTGGTCCTCTGCGCTATTCCTTATGTTCCACATATGAGTGAAACCATATGATAACTGTCTTTCTCTGCTTGACTTATTTCACTTAGCATAATCCCCTCCAGTTCCATCCATGTAGATGCAAATGGTGGGTATTCATCCTTTCTGATGGCTGAGTATTATTCCATTGTATATATGAACCACATCTTCTTTATCCATCCATCTGTTGAATGGCATCTCAGCTCCTTCCACAGTTTGGCTATTGTGGACATGCTGCTATGAACATTGGGGTTACAGAAGGGACAGGGGTGGGGGGATGAGTAACCAGGTGATGGGTATTAAGGAGGGCAGTGTGGTGATGAGCACTGGATGTTATAGGCAACTAACGACTCGTTGAACACTATATCAAAAACTAATGATGTTCTATATGCTGGCTAATTGAACATAATAATAAAAAAAAGAAAAAGAAAAAAATAAATAAAGTAGCAGAAAACCTGGAGAGGGGGAAAACAAATAAAACCAACCAACCAACCAACAAACCAACCAATGTCTTGACCTCTATCTTGTATATAAAAAAATAATTTGAGATGGATTTTAGGTATATAAATAAAAGTGAAAAGATCTGAACATAAGCATTTGTAAAGATACTCAACATCATTAGTAATCAGAGAAATGTTAGTTAAAAACATAATGGGATACTATTTCAACTCTATTATAATGGTTAAAATTCTAAAGATTGGCAATTTTGATAAAGGTAAAATGTGGAGCTACCAGAATTTGCAAACATGGTTTGTAGAAGTGTCCCACTTTACAGAAAAGGCAGTTTATTATAAAGTTAAAAACATACTTCCCCTTTGACCCATCAATTCCACTTTTAAATAAATGGAAAACATATATCCACAAAAATACTAATAGAACTAAAAAGAACTAATAGAACATGGAAAGTGTAGTCATAATAACTAGTAAATAACAAAACAATCAAATATCCAGCAATGGGAAAATAAAAGAACCGTAATACATTCACACAGTGTAACAGAATCCCACTCAGCAATTAAACGGAATGAACCACTGACACATACAATAACTTGGAAAACCTCAAAAACACTATGTTGATGAAAGAAATCCAAGAATGAAAGAGCTCATACTTCATGATTTAAATTCCATGAAGTTCAAAAACAAGCAAATTGACATGTGAGAATAGCAGTTGACTTTGGGGTAGGGGGAAGAAACTAACTGGAAAGGGCATGGGAAAATAATCTGGGATAAAAAAATATTCTATCTCATGTTCATGATGGCTATATGGGTGTTTGCCTGAGCTCACTGGACTGAATACTTTAAATTTGGACATTTTGTTGTATGTAAATTAAACTAAAATAATGTTTTATTTATTTTATTTTTTTTAAAGATTTTATTTATTTGAAAGAGAGAGACACAACGAGAGAGGGAACACAATCAGGGGGAGCAGGAGAGGGAGAAGCAGGCTCCCCACTGACCCAGGAGCCTGATGTGGGACTCAATCCCAGGACTCTGGGATCATGACCTGAGCGAAAGGCAGACGCTTAACGACTGAGCCACCCAGGCGCCCTAAAATAATCTTTTAAAAAGGAAAAAAATAACATATTTTTTTAGGTAATCACTGATCATAAACTATTGACTAAATGTCTATTAAATAAACCTCTATTCACTATTTTAATTAGTAACATTGGTTTGGGAAGGCTCTACATTTCAATTTTGTAATTACCCTGTCTCAAATATGAAAAAAGAAAAAGATTCTCTGCATTCAAATGAATAATTTATACATACTCAAATTACTGAATATAACATGACACATTTGGTAAATGTTTTATTTCCTTTTCTTAACAGGCTCACAAAACAGACTAGGCCAGATGGAGCAATCATAGAACAGAAAAAGAACACTGGACCTGAAGTCAGACAACCTGAGTTTTCTTCTAGCTTTTGCATTTTATGATTCTATTTGGCAGAAGTTCCCAGCTGATTATCACTGCTGAGGTTTCCTAACACTAGAAAGTATTATTAAATACAGGGAACCATCAATAGACAAAGCAATGGCTTAATGCCCTCTGGTCATCTTGTTGTCAAATTAAGGATAGTAAAAAAAAAAAAAAACAACAGTGGTATTTATAATAAAACATGACTATTCCTGTCCCTCTTTCTCTTTCAGTGTTTTGAATTTATTGTACCTTTGTTTTAATATGCAGGAATCACTTTTCTCTTTCATTTTTAAAGCTCTTAAGAGACAAATCACATGTTTCAGTGCAACCTTTTAAGCCGCTGACATAAAGCCAAAGTGACAGGGCAGAAGTATAAATGCCATCCCTCTTTCCTTTTGCGCTCCATTACACAGAAACACCTCTATAACATTTCACTGATAATTTCTTTTCAAATTCTGACATCTTGCAAAATTAATGATTGTGTAGCGTTAAAAATGTAAGACTTTCACTATCTCTACATTTTAAATGTATTTGCTTTAATGTGTTATAAAAATGAGACAATTATATGTATATATGTATGTAGATACATACATATACAATGTTGATGCATATTCACATGCATAAAAATATATCAATGAAATAATCATTCATTTTTACAGTCTTTCACCCATTCAATATGTAAATATTTTCAGCTATATACAGGTTTTATGCTAAGCACTGGGAATGTGATTTTAAGGTAGTCTACATCTCTACAATAATAATAACAAAGATTTATACCGATGCTTGATACTGTTCTAAAGTTTTTCCCTTGTCTATAGTTGCTTAATCATTGTAATCCTATAAAAGAAACTACTATTTAGTTAAAATTCAGATACAAAGACGAAGAATAACTTATCTAATATCACATAGCTAGGAAAGAGTAGAACCAGATTTCAACCCAGGTGGACCAAGTCCAGAGTAAGGGATGTGTAACTACCATACCATGCTTTCCTGCCCTTGTATCTTCTCCCACACAGGAAAGATACTGACTAGTTATATGGGGGATGAAATAAACAGATATAACTCAAATGTTTTTCCCTCATACTGCCTGAGATATTTCACTTATTTCTTTTCCTGTTATTTAAACAATTCTAAATTCTTTTCTTTCTTTCTTTTTTAACCAACCTCTATTTTAACAATGGAAATAAGTCTAGGAAGATTATACTGTAGGTCTATTCTTTTTTCTTCCAATATGTATCTGAGATCAGGTAAGAGAAGAAGTGAAATTTTAATGGGATGAATTAGCTTGATGAGGAAAAAGTCATATTATCATATCCATTGCTACATGACTTACAGGATTTCCCTGTGGGAGGAAAATACTTCGCATCATGTTGAAAAAGATTTGGCCATCTGACTTCATTGGGCAAATCGAATATGAGGGAAGTATTATGTGTCATGCATGGCAAACATCTAAAATTTATTTTATAGTTCTGCAATTGTTCCTTCCATCTGCCATGAGAATGGTATCCTAAACAAGAACTGGTCCTTTGGTTTGGTTCAAATAAAGAATAAGACCCTCAGTGATGTTCAGTTCACATATAATACAAGAGTGAAAGAAATCTTTGTTGTTATAAGCTAGTGAAACTTAGATTTATTTGTTACCACAAAATAATGTCACAAAATCTAAAGGATACAATAGATTTGTCTTTTCATATTCTTTTTTTTTTTTTATTAGTCAGCCAACAAATTTTATTAACAGCAAACTGCTCATTCAAAAGTGATCATGGAACTCAAAATACAGAGCAAGAAGGATGAAAAACATCTCGTTGGCCAAGAGATTGTTTTAATTCTCTGACTATATGAAACAAACTTTTCATTTTTAGGAAAGGTTAAGTGTAACTTCAGTAGACAGCAATACAGAAAGATTTTGTTACATGGACTAGTTTCTTTAGTCAATTGCTCCTAGCTGTCTCCACC